TCGTGATGAGTACTCCATCTATGATCTATTATTATACAGGGTAATATTAGTCGTGATGAGTACTCCATCTATCATCTATTATTATACAGGGTAATATTAGTCGTGATGAGTACTCCATCTATGATCTATTATTATACAGGGTAATATTAGTCGTGATGAGTACTCCATCTATGATCTATTATTATACAGGGTAATATTAGTCGTGATGAGTACTCCATCTATGATCTATTATTATACAGGGTAATATTAGTCGTGATGAGTACTCCATCTATCATCTATTATTATACAGGGTAATATTAGTCGTGATGAGTACTCCATCTATGATCTATTATTATACAGGGTAATATTAGTCGTGATGAGTACTCCATCTATCATCTATTATTATACAGGGTAATATTAGTCGTGATGAGTACTCCATCTATGATGCCTTTCATCACGATTGACCCTTTAATGGATCCAATGGCATCAGTGTATAAATGCATGAACATTTTGGTAACTATAGTATTGGTCAGCAGAACAACAACAACCATGTGAGATACTATAATGCTTACATAATGAACGATGATAAGGATAACCGTACCCGTTAGCAATCATGTTATCATCATATTCTTGTTCTTATTAACCCCTATTATACTACAGGAGTATTACTTTACTATTATCATCATCATCTCATGGTGACTCCAGTCCACAGATCCAAGAGTAGAAGGTATAGCAGCAGCAGAAGTAGTAGTAGAGATAGTAGGATAGTAGGAAAGGGTGGTAGTTACGCGAGTGATGATAAAAGGAAGATCTTATCAAACAGTAGTAGAGATATAGACTAATACGATCAGCTGTTAGTACATTGCTGTTTTTCGTCATTATTATCAGGGAAGGAGGGAACGTCATCATCAGCTACTGCAACTACCACTGTTATGTTACATGTATCCAATCTCACACGTAATATCAATGAGGATCATCTATATGAGATTTTTGGTAGTAACTGTATTAATAATGATACATATGAGTAGTACTACTGTTCTATTATTGTTAATAGGTACTTTTGCTGAAGTTATTGATGTTCATCTTGCTATAGATGATAAAGTTAATCTCCCTAAAGGATATGCTCATATTACATTACCAAATAAAGAGGCCGCTAAGGATGCTATATATCATCTTCATCATGCTCAGATAGATGGCAATATTATTAATGTAGTAGTAGTAGTAATGTATTAATCTCGCTGCTACTACTACTATCATCATTAGATCCGATTCGCACATAAGAGTGGTGAGAATACCAACAATGTTGTTGTTGTTGATGCTGCCATTAGGAGAGGCGTCCGAGATGATGATGACGATTCAGGTGAATTATGATCATATCCTCCTAGCCCATCGACTTCCATTGGTCGACACTTATAAGGTTCAGATATGAAAGTAGATGAAGAGAGTCGGAGACATGAGAGGAGTAGGAGTAGGAGAAGACCATCATCATCGTCATCATCATCATCAACATCCTCCCCTCCGTCATCACGACCTCGAGACAATCACAACAGAACATCTAGTCGTCGTAAAGATCGTAGTAGAAGTAGATCTGCTGCTGCTCCTGCTGCTGCTGCTAGCGGCGGCGGCGAATATAATGATGATGAGAATAGAGGCAGTAGTAGTAGTAGGAGGAGGAGAGGGTCGAGTCTTGAGAGGAGACGTGACAGGAGGTCATCATCATCATCAGGGGAAGAGCGTCATCATCATTATCATCATTCTAGTCGAGAGCTTCAGAAAGATTCAAGAGATCAAAGAGATGAGGATCTAATGAACGATGATAGTAATAGGAATGATAACCATAATCATCAACGAGAGTCACAGGTAATAATATTTATAGCTCCTAGGTATAGTGATATTATTATCAGGTGGGACCGAGACACCGTTACAAACCTAATAGTAGTCATCATCATCATATTATGTG